TGTCTCGAAAAAAATAGAGAAAAAGAAAGAAGAAAGGAAAATAAATGAATTAGGGGGATAAATTCAGAGAGAGGTACCTGCCAAGGACATAGAAAAATGGAATGCAGTAGGGTATGGAAGAGACAGCTTCCAATGGGTAGTCTGAGGCCGCTTGGAGCAGCTACACTAGTAGCTATGATGCGGATGAAGAGCACTCTGGGTGGAGGAACAGTATGTGCAAAGGCTCAGAGGCAGGAACCAGCTTGGCAGGTCGGTGGCACAGAAGGGTGGCCAGTAGCTGGAAAAAGCAGGATGAACAAGGGGATTGGCTGAGTGGGGTCAGCGAGATGGCAGGGAAGGGGCCAGAGCATGGGGTCTCCAGGCTTTGCTCAGAGTCTGGATTTTATTGAGAGTAACATGAGTACTCAGAAGACTTGGGGCAGGGGAGCAACACCATCTGATTTTTGTTCCCTCCCCCTTCTTTTCTTTGAGATGGAGTCTCCCCTGTCACCCTAGGCTGGAGTACAGTTGCATGATCTTGGCTCACTGCAACCTCCACCTCCTGGGTTCAAGCAATTCTCCTGCCTCAGCCTCTCTGAGTAGCTGGGACTACAGGTGTGCGCCACCACACCCAGCTTTTTTCTCTGTATTTTTTTTTCTGTATTTTTTTCTGTATTTTTACAGAAAAAGTAAAGAAGTAGAGATGAGGTTTCACCATATTGGCCATGCTGGTCTTGAACTCAGGTGATTCACCTGCCTTGGCCTCCCAAAGTGCTGGGATTACAGGTGTAAGCCACCATGCCCGGCCCCTTTTTTGTTTTTTGAGACAGGGTCTTCCTTGTCACCCAGGCTGGAGTGCAGTGGCACGATCTCAGCTCACTGCAACCTCTGCCTCCCAGGTTCAAGTGATCCTGAGTAAACTGGGATTACAGGTGCATGCCACTACACTTGGCTAATTTTTGTATTTTTAGTAGAGACAGGGTTTTGCCATGTTGGCCAGGCTAGTCTTGAATACCTGGCCTCAAATCAGCCTCCCGCCTTGGCCTCCCAAAGTGCTGGGGTTACAGGTGTGAACCACCGTGCCCAGCCTCTTTATTTTTTAACCATAATTTTTTTTTTTTTAAATAGAGATGGGATCTTACTATGTTGGCCAGGCTAGTCTAGAACTCCCAGCCTCAAGTGATCCACCCACCTCAGTATCCCAAAGTGCTGGGATTACAGGTGTGAGCCACCTTGCCTGGTCTTGATTTTCATATTAAACTTCATCCACTGGGAGGGGCCACATGACAAATGCTAGAATAAGGGGTATCATGGGGCTGTGGGAGCTCAGAGAAGGGAGAAAATGTCTGTCTGTTAGACAGCAGGGGGTCAGGGAAGGTTTTCCAGAGGAAGTGACATCCATGCTGAGTCTGAGGATGAATATTTGGATGCTGAGTAGGATATTCCCACCAGAGGGAACAGCCCCAACAAAGTCATGGTCACCTGATGAAGCCAGACTGAGAAAGGCCTTTAATCCAAGAGCAAAAAGGCCAATGGAAGCCACTGCACTGCAGTTGAACAGGAGACTGACAAGGTCCTACTGGGAAAGTGGCATCCAAATGCCTCCTTTCCATAGAGGTCTGTTCTCCCAATGCCCCCGCTCTGACCCCGGCCTGCTGGGATGGGGTTTCTTTGCAGATTTCCCTGCCCCCTTCACCTGGGTCACAGGCTACTTTGCCATGGTGGTGGGTGCCAGCATGACCTTCGTGGTTCAGAGCAGTTCTGTGTTCACCTCAGCCATCACCCCACTCATCGGTGAGTGTCCATGCAGAGGTGGAGTGGGGTGGGACAGGGCTGGCAGGGAAAGGGCTGAAGGAGATGCTGGGAGTCCCACCTCCTCTCCCTCTGCCCCCAGGCCTCGGTGTGATCAGCATTGAGCGGGCCTACCCACTCACACTGGGTTCCAACATCGGCACCACCACCACGGCCATCCTGGCTGCCCTGGCCAGCCCCCGGGAGAAGCTGTCCAGCGCTTTCCAGGTATGCTGGGAGCATAGCACCGCCTCGGGCAGGATGGATCTGGAATCGGGGTGTGGGGCCTGACAAAGATGTGACAACATGCAACAAACATTTTGACTGCCTACTAAGGGCCACCTACTATGCTCTATGGGAACCATATGAGCAAAGTAGACCCAATACCACCCTCAAGACCTCAGCATCTAACAGGAAGACACTGCTCATAATCACAGCAATAAATAGCAGTGAGTAGGATTTGCACCATAAGGAAGAGGAAGAGGTGCAATAAGAGGGGGCCTGGCGCAGTTGGGGAAATCCATTGTGGGGCACAGGGTTGAAAATGGCAAAGGGGGAATTGTTCTAGGAGTGAAGGAGTAACTGACAAGCCAAGGCACTGACTGAGTGAGGGTCCAGAAACTGACATCAATCCTTTAGCTGCTAGACTTTGGCAGAATCTGCTGGGGGATTCCTGAGCGAGAGGTCGGTGGTGAACATGTAGGGAGCTCAGGGCAGTAGTTATTTACCAACTGGTCCAGAAGTATTTCAATATTTTCATACCAGCACAGCTACCCTGGGGTGGTCTGGGGAGATACATCAGCCCTCAGTGGCAACTTTCCTGCTGCCCAGACCAAGTGTTCCTATCATCTACCCCTGCTGGCCTGACCCAGGACCTGGGAGCCAGTGCCCACCTCAGCCCCTCTGTCTCATCCTCTGCAGATTGCCCTTTGTCACTTCTTCTTCAACATCTCAGGCATCCTTCTATGGTATCCGGTGCCATGCACACGCCTGCCCATCCGCATGGCCAAGGCGCTGGGGAAATGCACAGCCAAGTACCGCTGGTTTGCCGTCCTCTACCTCCTTGTCTGCTTCCTGCTGCTGCCTTCACTGGTGTTTGGCATCTCTATGGCAGGCTGGCAGGCCATGGTAGGTGTAGGCACACCCTTCGGGGCCCTGCTTGCCTTTGTGGTGCTTGTCAATGTCCTGCAGAGTCGGAGTCCCCGGCATCTGCCCAAGTGGTTACAGACATGGGATTTCCTGCCTCGCTGGATGCATTCCCTGAAGCCCCTGGACCGCCTCATCACCCGAGCCACTCTATGCTGTGCCAGACCTGAGCCCCGCTCTCCCCCACTGCCCCCCAGGGTATTCCTGGAGGAGCTACCCCCTGCCACACCCTCCCCCCACCTTGCACTGCCTGCTCACCACAACGCCACCCGATTCTAGACTGTGGGCCCAGACCACAGCTGGGAATGGGGAAGGCCTGGGTGGAAAGGCAGGGGAGTGTGTGTGTATGTGTGTGCATGTACCTGTGCTACTCTGGGTGCCAGTCTCTCCTTCTGCAGCTCTGAAAAGGTCTGGGCTTGTGTGTCAGTGTCGGTGTGTATGCATGTGTGGGGGTGAGTCTGCATGTGCACCTGTCTGTGTGTAGAAGCTTTTGTGTACACGTGTGCCAGCCTCTGCACACATACACAGACACATCTGTGGGAGGCTGTGAGCAAGTTGCAGCGTATCTGGGTAGGGCTTTGGGTCCTCTGCATGGGTACACATGACTAGGATAGGCAGGAGTGAGAGTGGGTCTGAGTATGTGACTGTGCAGCTGTTTGTGCATAGATGTTGGTGCCTGCCTCACTGAATTTGCACACCTCCCTGCCACCTTCCTTCCTCCAAGATATCATTCACCTCATCCTCACCCAGGTCTTCAGCTCCACCACAACTCCCTTCACACTTGCCTAATGGAAAAAAACAAAAGGAATTAAACTCTCCTTAGGCATTCAGAAGTCTTTTTTGGTCTCCATCAATGGCAAAAGGGAAGACCAAGCCATGGGTTTCAGCAGCACCATCTCCCCTCAAAGACTCGCTGCAAGAGCAGCCTACTCTGCCCTGGCCAGGTACAGTTCCAGAGAAGCCAGCCCTGCAGGCTCACCCCAACCGTCTGCCTTAGTGAGTCCAATCCACAATTCAAACTCCCTGGAAGCCCCTCCTAGGCCTGGGGCCACCCCCAAGGCAAGTGTAAGGAGGAATCTGTATCCCCATCCCCTGACCCCCACCTGGCTGAACTTCCTCTGGTCTCCCTCTGCCCTCTAAATTCACCCACCTCAGCCAGACGCTCACTCCTCCTTGCTGGGATAAGAGCAAGGCTCCAGAATGAGTGTCAGGTGGGGTCTGCCATCAGGGCTGCTGGGAGAGAGGGGATGGGGAGGGTAGTGGTGGGCAATAGAGGTCATGCCCTGGGCCCCAGCACATGGAGGGCAGGGACCAGACACCCTCTCTCCCACTTTTGTCCACTATCTTTGGGCAATAAACCAGGCCTCAAACTCACCCAAGCTTTTCAATTCCCACTCTTCCATAGGTCACCCCGAAACTGAGGCCTACAGTGTGAGTCCCGTGGGTAGGGATGCCAGAGTTCCTCCCTCTAGTTCAGGAACTCCTCTGGGGCCTTAGGGAAGGCCTGGGGAAGGCAGGATGTAAGGTCGCAGGTTGTGATGGTCTTGGTCTTGGACATGTGCCCTCTCAGTGGGCCTCCTTAGAGGAATGTGGGCGAAGATACAGGGGCCTGTGAGCCCCAAATCTGCTTTACAAGCTACCAGGTCCATCCTGTTACCCACTCACTACTTGCTAGTGCTTGGGATGTGAGTGGAGGGCAAGAGAAGCACATGGCCTCCGGCCCTACTCCCTGATGGGGAGAGGTGTTCGCGGGATGGGGAGGGGGCTCCCTTTACTTGTCCTACCCCATCTGGCTAATGTGGAAATATTTGTGAGAAAGGACGCTAAGGATGAAACAGACTTTGAGAAGGTCCCCATCCTTGGACTCTTCCTCAGCTACGGAGTCCCTAGGACCCTGGGAAGGCGCCAAGGAGCAGCAGTCAGGCCCTGGCCTCTGCAAGGCGTCCATGGGAGAGCAGGGTGGAGGGCACAGGATCCTGGCAGCCTCTAGACTCAAAATCCCGGCTCCATCAGGTAACCTCCTTGCAAAGATCAGTTTCCTTATGTACAACTCCCCCTGCGGCGCAAGTGGAGGAGGCGCTAGCCACACCCAGGTCACAGTTTATTTGGCCAGCGCTACCGGGCTACCCGTGGGCGGCCTGGGCTGTCAGGCTAGGCGCCCTGCATGCGCAGCCCGCGGATGAGCTCGTGCGCCGTCTTGTTGAGGATGCCCCCGTGGACGCCGCGTCGGCCCATGAGCACCAGGAGCGCGCGCGGCGCGTGGCCTACGCACACGGCGCGCGCGTCCAGCCCCTTGGTGCGCGCGTCCAGCACGCCGTCGCCCTCGGCCAGCAGGTGGTCGCGGATGACGCAGCAGCGGCGGCCCCCCACGCTCAGACCCGCCTGCAGGAAGGTGCGCCGGTCGGGCCCGGTGAGCACGCCCACCTCCTGCGGCGAGATGGCAGCCAGCAGGCCCCCGGGCCGCGAAGCCCACACGCAGCGGTTGTCCGCGTGGCCCACGATGGCCACGTCGTCGATGCGCTGGTCCTGCAGCACTGCACTGATGTAGCCCTTCCAGTCGCCCATCGTGCTCCGAGTGCGTCCCCCGACCTCGCGCTTCTCTGTGCTGTGTAGAGGCGCCGCGCCGGGAATGCCTGCGGTGCTGTGACGCTTGCGGGTCGGGGCTGTGACGTCACACAAGGGGCCGTCCTGTAGCTACCACCCAGGCTAGGGCACGTGGGGCATGGGCGTTTAGTGCCCAGGCTGTTCTAGGATTACCCTGTAGGACGGGTTTGGCAGAACGTGGTGGTTCACTCTTGTAATCCCAGCGCTTTGGGAGGCTGAGGCGGCCGGATCTCTTGAACTCAATAACGAGATTATAGTAAACTATTACAGGATCCTGTCGCTGTACTCCAGCCTGGGCCACAGAGCCAGGCCCTGTCTCTTAAAAAAAAAAAAAAATTAATAAAAAAAAATTTTTTTTTAATTGAGATGAAGTCTCACTATGTTGCCCAGGCGGGCCATAAAGTCTTGAGCTCAAACAATCCTCCCGCCTCAGACTCTCAAAGTGAGATTACAGGCGTGAACTGCTGCATTTGGCCAATCTTTTTTTAATTTTAAAAAGATGATTTTATGAACAAAAAGATACCGTGTTTGGACAGCCAGACCTCCACCTGTATGCCAAGCCCTGTGCAAGGAGAAGCTGCATGTTAGTCCTCATAAGAAACTACTATTTTGTTTACAAAGCAGTTTGCAGACCATACATTAAGATCACCTGGGGAGTCAGGGAACCAACCATTAAACCCCCAGATTGTGGTTCTCAAGAATAAAAGAACATCAGAATCCCCTGCAATGGTGTTAAACAGATTGATACTTCCCACCCAGACTTTCTGTTCAGCAGTATAAAGTGTAGCCCAAGAATTTGTTATGTCTAAGAAGTCCCCTGGTGATGTATTGCTAGCCAAGGGACTCTGAGACCCACCACATTAGTGCATATTGGGGTGGGGACAAGGATATGTCACTCAGCCCTCAGGGTCCATACCACTGCCAATGCTAAATAGTATTAGTATTATTTATTTATTTATTTTGGAGACGGAGTCTTGCTCTGTCGCCCAGCCTGGAGTGCAGTGGCACAATCTTGGCTCACTGCAACCTCTGCCTCCTAGATTCAAGTGATTCTCTTGCCTCAGCCTCCTGAGTAGCTGGGACTACAGGCACACACTGCCACATCCGGCTAATTTTTCGTATTTTAGTAGAGACGGGGTTTCACAGTGTTGCCTAGACTGGTCTCCAACTCCTGAGCTCAGGCAATCCGCCTCCCTCGGCCTCCCAAAGTGCTAGGATTACCGCCCGGACAATGCTAAGTATTTCTTTTTTTTCTTTTTTTTTTTTTTGAGACGGAGTTTCGCTCTTGTTACCCAGGCTGGAGTGCAATGGCGAGATCTCGGCTCACCGCAACCTCCGCCTCCTGGGTTCAGGCAATTCTCCTGCCTCAGCCTCCTGAGTAGATGGGATTACAGGCACGCGCCACCATGCCCAGCTAATTTTTTGTATTTTTAGTAGAGACGGGGTTTCACCATGTTGACCAGGATGGTCTCGATCTCTTGACCTTGTGATCCACCCGCCTCGGCCTCCCAAAGTGCTGGGATTACAGGCTTGAGCCACCGCGCCCGGCCCGTGAGTTTTTTTTAATGAGGAATAACATGCAGCTTCTCCTTGCACAGGGCTTGGTATACAGTATCCTAGGCTCTGTAAACATTAGCTGGACCGGGATCTAGATATTGCACGTTAAGATCTCATAGACCTTGTTTTCTGAGAGCTGTGGAGAAGGGTGAATCGCTTTTCTGTCTTGGCATTTCCCGACGAGACCCAAGGAGTAGAGCTTTCCTTATCACCATTTTCAAAGCACTTTATTGAGTTCCTGCGCCATCTTGGCACGGAGCTGGCCTCACTGGGGGAATGGGACACCATCTTGACGTCCATGCCCCAGCCACCCTCCCACTGCGGAATCACTGAGGAAGGAAAGACAAATCCCTGAGCAATCAGGAAGCGGTGTGCTCCTGGATCCAAGACAGGTAGTTGGCCACGTCGGTGTAGACGCCTGGCTTGTTGCGGTCACCACAGCCTGATCCCCAGCTGACGACACCTCGCAGGGTTAGCTGGTGCCCGACGGCCTTGTCCTCACACACCAGCGGGCCTCCGGAATCACCCTGGGTCGGAAACTCGCAGCTCAGCGCCGTGGGCCTGGGATTTGTGCCTGATGACCTCAGGGAAGGGCGCTAACCCGGCTAAGGTCTCACCTGGCACGCATCGGTGCCGCCCTCGAGGAACCCTGCGCAGAGCATGCCGGGCAGGATGGAGGCTCCGTGCACGTCCGGGGCTGAGCAGCGCTCCAGGGAGAGGAAGGGCACCTGCGCCTCCTGCAGGAAGCTGGAATATTCCTCCGCCCCTGCGAACACAGAACGCCTTCCTCACACCCCACCTGACAACACTCGCCGCCCGGACGATGGACGAGGCTGCGGCAGGCTCTTCTAAACCCGCTCTTGCCCTTCCCCTCCCCAAGGGGGGAGAGGTGCCATTAATTCAATTTCATAGACAAGGAAACTGAGGTCCAGGGAAGAGCCAGGATTTGAATGGGCGGGAGCGGAAGCAGAAACCCTACCTCCACCTCCTATTCAGAGTCACAGAACCTGGCTACCAAACTAACCCAGAGCGCGGGGCCAGCGTCCTAGTTGGCCTTTGCAGCCCGTCGCCCAGAGAGAACCAAGAGCAAGTTCGATTCTCCCTCTACCTCCAGGAGATTTGGGGATCCCAGCAGTGAATCCCAGGCCCTGGGAGGCCCTGCACATTCTCACAGGTCAGCGCCACCTCTCCTGTAGGCACCCGGGACGATACCAAAGTCAAAGCCGCGGGCTTCTCCCGCCTAACCTAGTGATCAAAGATCTCCTCCCCTAGCAGTTGTGCCTACCCTCGAACTGGTGGCCCCAACCGGCCACCTCGCAGAGCGCGGGCTCGGGCTCGGAGGGTCGCGTGGCGCTGCTTGGCAGGCACACCGGCTGAACGTAAGGCGACAGGAGCGCGCAGCTGCCGTCCGCATCCTCCTGCAGGCGCAGCAGAGCTAACCCGGGCGTAGAGGAGTGTGAGGCGGAGATGCTGGAGCCCCACCCTCTCTCCCCGTCCACGCAGGGCGCCCCCCCGCACCCAGGTCGTGCTGGTAGCTGACGGGCGAGAAGGCCTCGTGCAGGCGGTAGGAGCGCACGGCCAGCGTCTGGCACTGCTCACAGCTGTGGTTATGGCGGTCCTGGCCGAGCACCACCGTCAGCTCCTCGGGTGCGGGCCTGCGGGCGGGTAGGGGAGAGGCAGCGCTCTCAGAACTGGCCACAGCGTTCTGGGGAAGCCCCCTGCTCCCGAACCCCATCCTGTGTTCCAGCTTCCTCCCGGGGAGCTCCGGAGGGGCGTGGAAAGAAGGGTGGGACGGGAAAAGATAGGGCACGGGTTCGGGTGCGGCGCAGAAACCGCGCTGGGAGACTGAGTAGCCGCGGCCTTCCGGGCGGCGCTCGGCGGGCGGGTACTCGCCGGTTCTGCAGGCAGTGAGCGGCCGTCAGCACCCAGCAGGGGGCGATGAGGCTGCCGGCGCAGAAACTGTGGCCCCAGTACAGTGCTGCGATGTAGGGGTGAGCCCCGGGCAGCGCCACCAGCCCGCCGACGATGCGGCTCAACGACGACAGACGCTTGCGGAGCCGCTGCCCACAACTCAGTGAGCCGTTCCTGGCCAGGGGAGGCGGCTGCTTACGCCTCGTCGCCGTGGCTGTGGAGGAGCCGGGGCTGAGGACCGGGAGCCCGCGGCCGGTCGGCCGGAATCCAGCTCGCCCCGCGCCCTCTCGGGTGCTTCTTTCCCCCACTTCCTAACCTCCTGGGGTCTGGGACTGAGGCGGGGTCCGGGACGTGGGCTGAAGTTTCGGCGATGTAGTCTGCGGGGGCATGGGCAGGTCGTCAAGCCTAGGAGGCGTGGGCGGCATGTGAAACCTAGGGGGCATCCGGGTCGGAGGCACCTGGCACTGTGCCAGGTTGCAGTACTCCCAGCTCAGCCGGTCACTGCTCAGCACGAAGCACCACGGGCGGACGTCGTTGTCCGGGTTCCTGTAGCCACACGAGGGGGCGCAGTTAGAGCGCCAGGAGCCCGGGGCCCTGGGGCGGAGGGGTCGTCCAGCCCCACGTGGCGCACCGGCAGAAGGCGTGGCCGCTCAGTCCCCAGTTCCGCGCTTGCTCGGCAGTCACGTTCCGGTAGGTGGCCTCCGAGGCCCACGGCTGACAGGACATACCGGAGACAGTGGTCCTGGCCTGGCCGCGGTAGCTGAGCCCGCGGCCATCATAGCAGCTTGCCTCGGTATCTGAGGGGAGAGGGGGCTCCCTGCAGCCAGGGCTGGGCTCTCCCACTGCCCTCTCATCTACTTTCCCCACTCCTCCCTTCTTATTCCTGGCAAGCCCTTCCCATCTCGGGGCTGGCCTTCTGCTTCCCCAGACCCTCACTCACCCACGTCGCAAAAGGGTCCAGTGTAGCCCACCAGGCAGTGGCACAGACGGTGACCCTCTGCCTCTAGGCAGCGACCCCCATGGAGGCACGGGTTGTTGCGGCAGGCTGGTGGAGGGAACACAGTGAGACACCCCTGGGCCTACAGACCCTCTAGAGAGCTCTCCTTCCTGGCACACCACCCAGCCTCCTGCCAGCCTCTCTTTCTCATCCTCCTCCCTGGCCCGATACCAACCATCTGCTCACCCTGGCTGGCCAGCCGCTGGCAGTGGGCATCAGGACCCTTGCACCGGCATCTGGCCACACCTGCTTGCTCAGATCTATACCATATCTCATTCTGGTCGAAAAACCGGAGAAGCTGAGGCTCAAAACACTTCTCTGGGGACAAAGAGGGACAGTGGTTCAGGAGAGTCTAGGACTGTGCCAAGTCTCTGGGGTACCCGGGGACCACTTCTGTAGACCCAGGGTTGCCCCTGTCCCCCAAGACCCTTGCCCGGGCATCTCCTCACCTCTCTGGCAGTGGTTTCCAGTGAGGTGTTGTGGACAGAGGCAGTGGGGACCCCTTGGCGTGTTCACACAGGTCCCTTGTTTCTGGCAGGGGCTGTGTTTGCTGCAGTGGTCTGAGAGATGGACATGGTGGGAGGAAGAGCAGGGAGCTGAGTCAGACAGATGGGTGCCAAGGCCCTACTTGAACCTACCTGCCTTGTGACCTTGCTACTCCAAGTTTCCAGGGCTTAGTTGACCCACCTGCAAAATGGGACCACTCCTTCCCAGAACTCTCCCTCTGGATTTCCAAAGGGCATTGTGGAGGGAGAGAAGGAGCTGGGCCCAGAATCCCAGGTGTGTGGGATTTGGTGATACCAGGAGAGTATCGAGGGGGGAGGAGAGAGCCCTGGGCCACCCCAGAGGCTGTGTGTAGCACCTTTTACTTTCTTGGGCT